TAGAAGTGTTCTTTTTTTCACCATATCCCCACCCACATTTATTATTTTTTGATGTTTTGATTATGGCCATTCTTGCCAGGAGTAAGGTGGCTTGGCATTGTGGTTTTAATTTCCGTCCCTGATCATTAGTGATGGATGAGCACGTTTTCATGTTTGTTGACCATTTTTATATCTTCTTTTGAGTCATTAGCCCATTATTCGAAGGGATTGGTTTTTTTTCTGCTGAGTTTTTTGTAGGTTGTGGATATTAGTCCTTTGTCAGATGTATAGATGGTGAAGATTTTCTCCCTTTCTGTGCGTTATCTGTTTACTCTGCTAATTGTTTCTTTTGTTGTGTGGAAACTTCGGCTTAATTAAGTCTCACCTGTTTATCTTCATTTTGTTGTCGCACTTGCGTTCGTTCTTGGTCATGAAGTGTCTCCCTAAGCCAATGTGTAGAAGGGTTTTCCAATGTTATTTTCTAGAATTTTTATGGTTTCAGGTCTTAGATTGAAGTTGACTTTTGTGTGAAGTAAGAGATGGGGATCCAGTTTGATTTTTTGGCACGTGGCTTGCCAATTATCCAAGCACCATATGTTGAATAGGGTGTCCTTTCCCCACCTTATGTTTTTGTTTACTTTATCAAAAATCAGTTGACTAAGTATTTGGGTTTATTTCTGGGTTCTCTATTCTGTTTCATTGGTCTATGTACCTATTTTTATACCAGTATCATGCTGTTTTGCTGACTGTGGCCTTGTAGTAGAGATTGAAGCCAGGTAATGTGATGCCTCCAGATTTGTTCTTTCTGCTTAGTCTTGCTTTGGTTATGTGGACACTTTTTTGGTTTCATATGAATTTTTGAATTATCTTTTCTAGTTCTGTGAAGAATGATGGTGATATTTTGATGGAAATTGCTTTGAATTTGTAAATCGCTTTTGGCATTATGGTCATTTTTACAATGTTGATTTTACCCATCCATGAGCATGAAAGGTGTTTCCATTTGTTTGTGTCATCTGTGATTTCTTTCAGCAGAGTTTTGTAGTTTTCCTCGTAGAGGTCTTTTACTTCCTCGTTAGGTATGTTCCTATGTATTGTATTTTCTTTTTGCAGCTGTTGTAAAGGGGTGAGGTCTCGATCTGGTTCTCAGCTTGCACATTGTCGGTGTATGGCAGATCTATTGATTTGGATACATTAATTTTGTGTCCTGAATTTTTGCTGAAATTATCAGTTTTAGGAGCTTTTTGGAGGAGTGTTTAGGGTTTTCTAGGTATACAATCATAATCAACAGCAAACAGTGATGATTTGACTTCCTCTTTACTGATCTGGATGCCCCTTATTTCTTTCTCTCATTTGATTGCTCTGGCTGGGACTGTCAGTGCTGTGTTGAATAAAAGTGGTGAGAGTGGGCATCCTTGTACTTATCGTTTCAGTTCTCAGAGGAAATGTTTTTAACTTTTCCCTATTTAGTATTATGCTGGCTGTGGGTTTGTCATAGATGGTTTTTATTACCTTAAGGTATGTCCCTTCTATGCATGTTTTGCTGAGGGTTTTAATTATAAACGGATGCTGGATTTTGTCAAATGCCTTTTCTGTGTCTATTGAGATGATTATGTGACTTTGCTTTTAATTCTGTTTATGTGATGTGTCACATTTATTGACTTGCCTGTGTTAAACCCGAAGAGCTAGGGTGTTCTCAGGAGCCGCCGGGTGCCACAGCAGCTTTGGGATAACTTGAGGCCGCATCCTGTGGAAGAAACACCTCCTGTCCTGGCGCTGACAGCTGAGGACAGAGCTTTGGTGTGGCTTCTCTGCGGCCGGCTTCTTTGGGGGGTTTGGCTTCTTCGGGCAGTTCTTCCTTCGTGGTGAGTACGGAAGCTTTCATTTTCTGGAATGTTCTGTGCATTCCTGCTGGGTTCTCCTTTTCTTTTTTCTCTCTTGCCATCTTAGTATGAAGTTTACAGTAGTGCTCATTCCCTGAGGGCTGTCTAGGTTGGAAAGAGTAGGAGGCTTTAGGGCTGTTTCTGAGGGAGACTCCCTGTGTAGATGGAGAGAGAGGAAAGCTCCGGCTGTGAGAGGAAGGGGAAGCCCGGCCCAGGTGGGGTTTTGGGGCCAGGCCTCAGGTGGAAGGAAAGGATCCCGGCTACCTCTAGGATTTGCTGATTTTTAAATTGTTTTTATTTTTTTGGAGATAGGGTCTGGCCCTGTTGCCCATGCTGGAGTGCAGTGGCAGATCTCGGTTCACTGCATCCTCCACTTCCTGGGCTCAAGGGATTCTCCAGCCTCAGCCTCCCCAGTAGCTGGGCCTGTGCCACCATGCCCAGCTATTTTTTTTTTTTTGTATTTTTGGTAGCCACGGGGTTTTGCCATGTTGCCCAGGCTTGTCTGAAACTTCTGAGCTCAAAGCAATCCTCCCGCCTTGGCTTCCCTAAGTGCTGTGATTACAGGCATGAACTACTGTGCCCGGTCTGCAGAATTTTGTTTTTCTTGTATTTTTGGTAGAGACAGGGTTTTGCCATGTTGCCCAGACTGGTCTCAAACTTCTGAGCTCAAAGCAATCCTCCCGCCTTGGCTTCCCTAAGTGCTGTGATTACAGGCATGAACTACTGTGCCCGGTCTGCAGAATTTTGTTTTTCTTGTATTTTTGGTAGAGACAGGGTTTCGCCATGTTGCCCAGGCTGGTCTCAATCTTCTGAGCTCAAAGCAATCCTCCCGCTTTTGCTTCCCAAAGTGCCGGGATTGCAGGTATGAACTACTGTGGGTGGTCTACTGAATTTTTACATTTGTTTCACAGCCATTGGGACATAGGGTGACTTTTCTCAGTGTCCCCACAGCGTATGCCTAATTCTGTCCCTCTAGTCATGGCCACCTGCCTCGGGGGAAGCTCCCTTCCGTGTGGTTTAATGTCGTCTCTGTGGAAATGTCTATTCAGGTTCCGTGCTCAGTTTTGGATGGATCATTTTTTTGTTGTTGCTACTTAGTACTGTTAATGTGTTGCATATTTTCCATAACAACCCCTTAGCCGATGTGTGATTCCTCAAAACGTTCCCCCAGCCTTTCTCTTTGGGTTCATTGTTTCCTTTTCCTTGCAAAAACTTCTCACTTTGATGTAGCCTGCATGTTGTTTTTATGGCCAGGCATGATGGTTCATGCCTGTAATCCAAGCACTTTGGGAGGCCAAGGTGGGCAGATCACTTGAGTCAAAGAATTTGAGACCAGCCTAGGCGACATGGCAAAACTTCATCTCTACAAAAAGTACGAAAAATTAGGCGTGATGGTGTGTGCTTGTAGCTCCAGCTATTCAGGAGGCAGAGGTGGGAGGATCACTTGTGCCAGAGAGGTCAGGGCTGCAGTGAGCCATGATCATGCCACTGCACTCCAGCCTGAATGACAGAGTCCCTGTCTCAAAACAATTTTTTAAATCTTTTTAGTAACGTTCATTTCGGTAAGAGTGAAATGACGTCTGAGTGTGGCTTTGAAGTACTTTTTTTTGATGAATAGTGATGTTGAGGACCTTTTCTCTTACCTGTTAATTTTGTGTCATCTTTGCAGGTATCTCTAAGTTCTTTGCTCAGTATGAGTTTGGATTTGTATTTTTATGCTACTTAGTATTCCTTTTTTCTGTGTACATGTTTGGTAACAACAGTTTATCACTTCTATGATTCCCTCAAATTTTCTAACAATTTTTTTTTGAGACAGAGTCTCATTGTCTTACCCAGGCTGGAGCACAGCGGCGTATCAGGGATTATGAGTCCTCCCACTTAGTTTCTATTTCTCAGGGTTCCTTAGACATACAGGGCCATTTCCATGTGATCATTAGCGTTGTATTTTCACGTTTCTTAAATTTTTGTGCATAAAAAAGTACATAATTAGTATGCTGGAACTTTTTCCTCTGGGACTTTTTGGTACATGTATATTTTTAGTAATGATCAAATTGGGGTACTTGGTATATCTGTTCTCATACAGTTGTTATTTCTCTGTTGTTATAACATTCAAATTGCTCCCTTCTAGCTTTTTTGGAAAATGTACTATTTTGTTAACCAGAGTCACCCAGCTGTGGCATAGAACACAAGAAGGTTTTTTTTTTTTTTTTTTTTTTTTTATCAGGGATTATGAGTCCTCCCACTTAGTTTCTATTTCTCAGGGTTCCTTAGACATACAGGGCCATTTCCATGTGATCATTAGGCGTTGTATTTTCATTGTTTCTTAATTTTGTGCATAAAAAGTACATATTAATTAGTATGTTGGAACTTTTCCTCTGGGGACTTTGGTGGCATGTATATTTTCAGTAATGACTCCAAATTCAAATACTGCAGACCTGTTCTCATACAGCTGTTATTTCTCTGTTGTTATAATATCCTAACTAAGCCTCCTTCTAGCTTTTTAAAGGTAAATTTACTTGTTAACTATAGAGTCACCCTGGAATGTGGTACAGAACACAAGAAGGTTTTTTTTTTTTTTGAGACTTGAGTTTGTTTCAGCTCCCCAGGTTGAGTGCAGTAGTGGTTGGAGTATTTGTTTACCAGTAAGCTCCACTCCCTTGCTCCACTGGGAGTCTTGCTCTGTGCCCCAGGCTGGAGTGCAGTGGCGCGATATCGGCTCACTGCAAGCTCCGCCCCCCGGGTTCACGCCATTCTCCTGCCTCAGCCTCCCGAGTAGCTGGGACTACAGGCGCCCGCCACCACGCCCGGCTAGTTTTTTGTATTTTTTAGTAGAGACGGGGTTTCACTGTGTTAGCCAGGATGGTCTCGATCTTCTGACCTTGTGATCCGCCCGCCTCGGCCTCCCAAAGTGCTGGGATTACAGACTTGAGCCACCGCGCCTGGCCAAGAATGTTTTTTTCCCAACTAACTGCAACTTTGTTTCCATAACCAATCCTCCCATTTCCTCCTTCCCCTCTCCTCGGAAAACCACTACTGTGCCTTCTACTTACTGAAGGCAGAGTTTTTGGATTCCATATAAGTGAGATGAATCTGCTTGTTTTTCTACACCTGGCTTATTTTATTTAACATTCTATTTTCCAGGTTCATCCATGTGGCTCCAAATGAAAATCACATTATTTTGTTACGGATGAAGAGTATTGCGTTGTGCAGATATACTGCAGTGTCTTTATCTCTTCATGTGTGGTTGGATAGGTAGGTTGATTCCATATCTTCTGTATGGTGAATAGCGCTTCATGAAGCATGGGAAGGCAGATAAATATATATATATATTTTTTTTCAGACGGAGTCTTGCTCTGTTGCCCAGCCTGGAGTGCAGTGGCGCGATCTCGGCTTGCTGCAAGCTCCGCCTCCCGGGTCCACGCCATTCTCCTGCCTCAGCCTCTGGAGTAGCTGGGACCACAGGCGCCCGCCACCTCGCTTGGCTATTTTTTTGTGTGTGTATATTTAATAGAGATGGGGTTTCACCGTGTTAGCTGGGATGGTCTCGATCTGACCTCGTGATCCACCCGCCTCGGCCTCCCAAAGTGCTGGGATTACAGGCCTGAGCCATTGCGCCCGGCCTGGCAGATAATTTTTATGGTACCAGTTTCCTTTGCTTTAAATGCATACCCAGGCCGGGCGCGGTGGCTCAAGCGTGTAATCCTAGCACTTTGGGAGGACGAGATGGGTGGATCACGAGGTCAGGAGATCGAGACCATCCTGGCCTACACGGTGAAACCCCGTCTCTACTAAAAAATATATAAAACTAGCCGGGCGAGGTGGTGGCGCCTGTAGTCCCAGCTACTCGGGAGGCTGAGGCAGGAGAATGGTGTGAACCCGGGAGGCGGAGCTTGCAGTGAGCCGAGATACGGCCACTGCACTCCAGGCTGGGCGACAGAGCGAGACTCCGTCTCAAAAGAAAAAAAAAAAAAAAAATATGCGTACCCAGTGTGAGGAACATCCCAACTTTTTTTCAAAGTATATACACTAATTTACATTGACATCAATAGCATAGACGAGCTTCCCTTTCTGTAAGTCTACGATGGTTGCTGCCGTCCAAAATTTTTATTGCTGTTTTGGTGATATTCATTCTCAGTGGAGTTTGATGGTGTCTGATACCGGGTGTGATTCTGACTTACATGTTTGGAGTGATTAGTGATGTGGAGAATCTTTAGTTTCACCTGTGGATCAGTTTCGTGTCCTTTGCAGAAGAGGTGGTGCAGGTCCTTTGCATATTTTTAGCTTGTGTATTTTTTAAAATCTTTTTCCCCACTTAGTAGCTTTAGTACTTGAATATGTTAGATAACAACCCCTTCCAAAATTATGATTTTCCAGTTTTCCCCCAATCATCCTTTCCGCCAAGGTAGGATGCTTTCTCTTTGGGGTCATTGTTTTCTCCCCCATGCAGAATCTCTAAAGTGTTGGTCTCAGAGATTTATATTTGCTTTTGTCAGCGGGGATTTCTGTGAGAGATTTTGTCAGCAGGGATTTCATGAGAGAGAGAGAAGAAAAAAGAGAGAGAGATGGCAAAGTCATTGTATTGTCTATGGGTATTTTCCCCTAAGTGAGACCATGTGGTATTTGGTTTTCTGTTCTTTCCTTAGTTCGCTTAGCATAGCGGCCTGCAGGTCCATCCTTCTTGCTGCTGAGAGCGTGAATATTTTTTTAAGCTGTGTAGGATTTTGCAGTATCTTTTTACAACACTTTAAAACATCGAATCAACTGTTAAAGGGAACATAGGTTAATTTTATTTTATTTTTTCTTGTGAATGGCACTTCTAAGAACATACCCATGCCTGTGTCATTTTGAAAGAAGGATTTATTTTTCTTTTATGTGTAGATACCCAGTTATGCGATTGTTCATTTGGATGGTAGTTCTAAGTTCTTTGAGGAACCTCTAAGAACTTACAGCGTGAGAACTAGTTTTTATTCCCACCAAGAGAGTAGCAGTATTTGCTTTCCTCCGCTGCCTTGCCACCATGTAAATGTTTGGACTTAGGACAAGTGGCCATTCTGACTGACGTGAGAAGGTATCTCCATGTGCGTGTGAGTTACATTTCTCTGATGATGAGTGATGTTGAGGGTTTTTCTTGTCTGTTGGTCACTTGTACATCTTGTTTTTACAAGTACGTGTTCATGTCTTTTTGCCCATTGTTTGGCTTATTCGTTTTTCTGCCTCTTGATTTTTTTAAGGTCATGTTAGAGTCTAGCTATTAGACCTTGGTCAAAAGCGTAGTTTGGGAACATTTTCTCCCATCCTGTAGGCTGTGTGTTTACTGTGCTGGTGATTTATTTTGCTATCTGGCAGTGTTTTAGTTTCTTCGGCCCAACTTGTCCATTTTAGTTTTTCTTGTCATTGCTTTAGCGACTAAGTCATCTAAATTCTTTACCAAAGCCCGTGCTGAGAAAGGTATTTCCTAGGTTTTCTTGTAGGACTTGTATAGTTTGAGGTCTTCTACTGAAATATTTCATTCACCTTGAGTTACTTTTCACATCTTGTGAGAGGTAAGGCTCCAGTGTTATTCATCTGCAAGTGGCTAGACACTATCCCAGTGCCATTCATTGCATAGTGAGCCCTTTCTACATTTGAATGTTGGTGTTTCAAAGGTCAGATGGTTGCAGGTATGTGGGGTTACTTCTGGGTTTCCTATTCTGTCTAGGTGGAGGTGGGTCTGTAGCTTTTCTATGAAATTTGAAATTGGAGAGTGTGGTCCATCTGACACGGTCTGGATCTCCCAGCATGGCTTTGGAGTTTCAGAGCATTCTGTGGTCCCATGGGAATTTTAGCCTTCATTGTTTCTTTACATCACTTTCAAAGAACAAAATTGACCCCATCCTAAAGGTGTACAAGTAGAAGGTAGAGTGGAACATTTGGGTCCATGCATGCATCACATAGTGATGAAATCAGGGAAATATAGTGTCATTTTTTGCCTTGTAGAGTGTTCCTGTCTTTTAGTTGAGGAGCCAGAACCCTTCTTTCTGGCTGTCTTGAAAACTATCCTCTGGTAAAGTTTTTTCTAGTCACCCTGCTGAGGAATAGAACAGCAGGTTTCATTCCTCTTACGGAACGTGTCACTTCGTGCCTATTTCCTATCCCCCCCCATGCTCAGTCTTCTGTTCCAACCCTGGCAAGCACTGGTGCTTTGTAGGTCTATGTGAGATAAAGGGTCTTAGATTCCTCATCAGTGAGGTAACGTGAGGGTTGTCTTCTCTGCCTAGTGTGTTTCATTTACCATAACGTCCTCCAGGTTCCACCATGTTGCCGCAGATGACGTGATTTCAGTACCTGTTCTGGCTGAAAAGTATATGTTTGTGAATGGATATTGTGCTTTCTGGATCCCATCCTCTGCGGGTGGACAGGCAGGTTGGTTCCTTATCTTGGCTATTGCGACTGGTTGCACAGTCAGCATGGGAAGGCAATTATGTCTTCCGTGTACTGATTTCATATGATTCCAGCAGCAGCACAGCTCAGTGAAATGGTCGTTGTATATTTAGTTTTCAGAGGAACCTCCAGATGGCCTCTGTAGTGTGCGTACTAATTTACCTGTTAACAGTTGTGGATAAGAGAGCTCTCTCCTCTCTGGAAATTCACAGCAGTGTTTGTGGTTTCCCTTCTTTTAAGATACATGAAGTTCTTTGTAATACTCCTTCCACCGAGAGGGTCACGGTAACTGAGTCTTGTTCTGATTTTCGTTTTTCTTATGATTAGTGATATTAACTAGGTGTTACCAAGTACATTTGTTTTCAGTTTTACATGTTCTTTGCAGAAAAGACTCTTTGATTTCTTTGCCCAATTTTGGTTTGCTAATTATCTTCTCTTTCTGCTGTTTTCTGCTAGTTAGTAGGGTTAGTTATTTACACCTTTTCCAGAAAAAGTCTCCTCCGCTGTGTTTTCCCCGATACCTTTCTTACCATTCTTTGGATGTTTGTTTCTTTTTGTTCATTGTTTTCATTCTTTCTTGCCCCCAGGCCTTACAGTCTGAAGCAGATTCAGGGGTGTGCAGTGTTCTGGTTTTCCACTACGTTGGTTACTGATGAAGTAAAGAAAATTCACCAGCATACTCATCTGTTGTGAGTTTTGCTTGTTTGTTTGTAATCTTTTCTTTCCCCTATATTTTTTCATTTTCCTTTTTGCAGACTGTAAGCATAGATCAGGGTTGACCGAGGTATTTGCACACCATAGTCTTTCTTCTCAGAGAGTGACAGTTTCAAGTTTTGGGTGTAGGTCTTTCATTCATGTTGAATAGATTATTGTGAATTTCACACAGTAAGGACCCTTGGTTGGTTGTTATTTGCCTAGGGATATCCAGTTCTCAGAACGCTGTATTGGACAGACTCTCCCTTTCTGTGCTACTTTTGTGGTTCTATTTAAACACGTGCTTATGCTGTGTCAATTTGAATTTACTCCTGGGCACCCTCATGGTGTCCATTGGCCTGTGTTTCTCTGCTAATGCCTATCACAAATCATCTGGGTAACTAAAGCTTTGGGAAGTAATTTAAAATGGAAGAGTGTGACAGCACTCCACCGACTTTGTGTATGTAGGAACTGCTTTGGGAATGTGGGGCACTTCATTGTCCCACAGGACTTTCAGAAATGTGTTGTGATCCTGTTTGGAGACAGAAATTTCACATGGTCTATGCCTTTACTTTAAGGGTGCAAGGGACCTTTGGACATATGGATCAGTGCTGTTGTGATCAAATTGCAGGACCTCGCGTCTCTGTTTCAGGCTATAGTGAGGATTTCTTGGTGGAGAGAGCATCCTGATCACTCCTTCCCGCTATGTTGAATATGATGCTAGGAAACTCTTAAGCCTAGTCACCCTGCTATGCCGTAGAACACCAGAATTCTTGCCATTCATCTGAGCGTCACTTTGTAGCTGTTTCCAAGCCTCCCCTCAGCCTCTGGTAGCCACCATTGACGTTGCTACTCTATGAGATTCACTTCGTTAGATTCCACGTGCGTGAGTTCGTGCTGTGTTTGAATTTCTCTTCCTCTGCCTGACTCATTTCCTTTAACCTAATGTCCTTCAGGTTTCTCCATCTTGCTGGAAGTGACCTGATGTCCAGAAGTTGGATGGCTGAGGAGTATACCATCGTGCACGCATCCTTCATTTACTGCATTTCTTCCTCTGTGGATGGACAGGTAGGTTCCCTCCATACCCTGGTTATTGTCCAGAGTACTTCCTCAAACATGGGAAGGCAAATACCTCCTTAAGGTCCAAGTTTCCTTGGCTTTGCCGGCATACCCAATGTTGGGATGCCTGGAGGAACTGGTGGTTGTACTGTTGTTTCAGAAAGCTCCTGCTGTCTCTCCCAGTGGGTATACAGATTTTCATTCCTACCAATAATGTGTGAGAGTTTCTCTGTCTGCAAATCTACACTGCCCTTATCTGCAAAAAGTTGTATTGCTGTTCCTGGTCGTACTCGTTCTCTGGGGAGTTTGACAGTATCTGAGTGTGGTTGGGATTTACATTTGGGGGGATGATTACTGATGTGGAGAAACTTATTACCCATGAGTCAGTCTCAGGTCTTTTCAGAAACGTCTATGCCAGTCCTTTGGGCATTTCTAGCGTGTGTATTGGTTTTTATGGTTTTTTCCACTTAGGAAACCGTTAGTTTCTTGAATATGTTAGAGAAGAAGCCCTTCCAGATCCACAGTTTTCTATAATTTTCTCCCAGTCTGTGGGATGTTTTCTGTTGGGTTCACTATTTTCTCTCCTTTGTTGAAGCTCTGTGAAGCTCTGAAGTTGTCCTTAGTCTCACATGGTTACATTAGTTTTTGTTAGCACGGATTTCTGTGTCCCTTTGAGAAGAAAAGTGAGATGGCGAAGCCATTATATTCTATGGGTATTTGGTTCCTATGTCTTCCTTTTCTGTTTGTAGCTTAGGTTCACAGGTTCAAGTTTCCCCACAATAGACACGCAACCTATGTGTTTTCCTTGGAGATTTTGGTTTCAGAATTACCCTTTGGTGTTCAGTGGATTTTGTGTTGCTTTGTGTGTCTTGTGTAGAGGAAGGGTTTATTTCAGTCCTTCGCACGTGACCCCCCAGTTTCCTCAACCATTGCGCCTTTGGTGTGCTTTTAGGGGAAAAACAAGAATCCTTTGGGTTCAGTGTTTATAATTTTGGGTTGATTATTTGACTCCATTGTGTCCATTCGGTTGTCTTTCTGTGTTCATGCTGCTAATGGGTGGATTGGGTCACTGTAGGCTTTTTGTTTTGTTTTGTGTGTTTTCTTGTATTTTATTCCTTTTTTTCTATTTCTGTTTCCAAAGCTGGGTTTTCTAGAATGATAGCTACTTGGATTGTGATCGAGGGGTACGCCTGCAGGTTAGCTTCACTGCGTGGCATACAGCAGACTTGGGGTCCCAATGTATCGGTCACCCAGGAGGTGAACACAGCATCAGTTGGGTCTTTCTTCCTCCAAGGCTTCCTGTTTCCCTCCTGTTTCTGTCTGGTAGTGTAGTACCCAGTGTCTTTTGATTTCATCTTTATGTTCATGTGTATTCAGTGTTGAGTTTCTGCTTATAAGTGAAAATCTGCAGTGTTTGGTCTTCTGTTCTTGCCTGAGTTCACTTAGCAGAGTGGCCTGCAGTTCCATCCATGTTGCTGCTGCGGGCATGATTTTGTTTCTGCGTTTGATTTTCCTTGGTGTCTTTTTAGTATTCTGTGGTGTATAGGTATCACGTTTAAAAACCTCTCATTTTCTGTTGGTAGGCATTTAGGTCAGGTCCATGTCTTTATTCCTGTGATGAGCACTCCTGTGAACATGCAAATGTCTGTGTCTTTTTGATAGACACATGTATTTTTCCCTTGGGTCGATACGCAGGGTTGGATTGCTGGGCCGAAGGGTAGTTCTGCTTCCTTTCCCTCTTTGTTGTTGTTGAGAAATCTTCAAATTGCTCTCCACAGTTTGAGACCTAGTTTGCATTACCGCCAAGAGTGTAGCCGTGTTCATTTTTATCTGCTGCTACACAAGTATGTTTTGAGTTTGGACAGATGGCCATTCTGACTGTGTGTGACGGCACTGGTACCTCCTCTCTAATGATTAGTGATGTTGAGCATTTTCCCGTGTCTGTTGATCTTTTTTAGGTCTTCTTTTTGCTAGTGTGTTTCTGTCATTTGCGCATTTTTTACTTGGGTTATTTTTCTGCTTCTTGATTTAGGTAAGGTCCTCTAGATTCTGGCTGTTACAAGTTGGTCAGATGCTTGGTTTGGGGACGTTTTCTCCCATCATATGGGCTGTGTCTTTACTGTCTTGGCAGTTTCTTTGCTGTGCAGCAGATCTGTAGTTTCTTAGGCCAGACTTGTACTTTTTGGTTTTTCTTGCATTTCTTTTGGGTACTAAATCGTCTAGTGGTTTGCAAAAGCCTATGTTGAGAAAGGTGTTTGATAGGTTGTCTCTTAGGACTTTTATATTTGAAGTCTTCTGTGTCAATCTTTGGTTCATCTTGAGTTAACTTTCCATATGGTGAGAAGCAGGGCTGCAGGGTTAATTCTCCTGCACGTGGCTAGTCATGTATTCCAGCGCTGTTCATCGCATAGCGAACCTTTTCTTTATTTCTTATTTCTGTGGTTTTGTCAAAAGTCAGATGGTGGTAGTTGTGCCAGGCTGCTTCTGCATTTTCTGTTTTGTCTAGGTGAAAGCTAGGTCGTTTTTTTCTGTTATGATCTGTTCTGATTTCTTGGGTTCAAGAACTGATAGATACATTTTAGAAACTGAAGAACCCACTTACATCCTCAAGGTTAGAAGCCATCACCATCATCCTATTCTGGGATGCTATGGACACTTTTCCCTCAAGTCTCACCTCTGGATTTATTTTGTGAAATTAGATTCTGAATCACATTTTGTTGCACAAACTGCTTGGGCAAAAAAGTTTTTTTTTCTTTAAAAGCATTCTTAGTATACATGGGGTGAAGAACAACAAACATGGCTCCTCTTTCCACTAGTCACACCATTACACTCCCTTCCAGCCTCTTTGCTGCTACGTTTAGCCATTCAAATGAGCCCTGGCCAAGTACATGTGGGTAGAAGTTAATGTTTGCTCCTTGCAAGCCTGACCTGTGATTCTATGTTGTGATTTAGAACATTAAAAAGAAGTGAGACTTGCTGAATGAGACAAAAAGCATTCTTGAACGCTTCCTCTGACAAGCTCCAAGGCACACTAGTTGTCTTGCACTCTTCTGGACAGCTACTCATTTGTTGGACAATAATTTGCCAACATGGGGACAATCCAGAGCATTTTCCATATGCATCTTCTGCTGCAGTTGCTCATGGTTTTGATCAAAGCTAGACAGTGACTGATCCAGGAGGCTCAGACCCCAGGCCAGCATAGAGTCCTGTGGTTGAAGACAGGCTGGACCATCAGAGGAAGAAAACAAGTAGGCCTTTCTTCTGGATTTTTACCTTCTCTTTTTTCAGGAAACCTGAAGCTGGTTATATTATTCAGACATGATTAAAAAGAGATGATTTTGAGTTGTTTTGGTGGCACCAAGAAATGCGCCAGTGTGACAGCCGAAAAAGCAGAGACACCAAGGCATTGAGAGTGGGAAAGCCACTGATGATTCTGGGTCTGGTAGGGTTTTCGAGATTTCCCAGCCCCAAAACAGCCAAGCAGCTGTGTCCTGGGTTGAGTGGGCTCAGCCCCTGTGCACACTCATGCTTGGATTCTGGCACACATGGCACCCACAGGAGGCAGCGCCCCCTCCAGGAGACGGTTGGCAGGACCCTGTCTCCACATGTGAAGGCAGCACCCACACGTCCTCTACTGCTCCCAGTGTCAGTTGCCCACAGAGGTTCACAATGAGACCCAACCTGTAGGCAGAGTTGCCACCCCAACCTGAGGCAAAGTGGACCTTTTTCTGCCAGAGGGGTCTGCTTTCCCATTGGCCAAAATGGCCTCAAATGACAGGGACAGAAGGCAGCACAAGTTCCCATTAGAGTGTCTGACCCGCCCGGTTCTGCTGCCACACATCTCCGGGGACGTCCCAGCAGGCACCCAGGCCTGTGCCACAGCTCACCCTACACTCAGAGGTGGGTAGCACAGCTGCCCGTGCAGGCCTCAGGGAGGAAAGGGAGAAATAGAGATGACAAAAGCAAGACACAATAAATGCAGCAAAAGCACACAGACACACACTGACACTCATCTGGGGCAGGCCATCCTCTCACCCATGACCAGCAGTGCAGGCAGCCGAGAGCCGGGCAGGAGTTGGTGCCGCCATCCCCTGAGTTAGGGCCTGGATCTAAGGCAGAATATAGAGTCAAGGGCCACTGACCTCAGGACCTGCAGGTTGCAGGGAGGGGATGCTGTGAGGAGAACTGTCCAGGTCACAGCTAAGTATGTCTGACTTCAGGAAAATATTTCAAACAAAAGTACATTGTGGAAGACTCCTGATGATATAAAAAAGTATGGTTTAGAAAATGTGAAAGCAATCACCGAACATATTCATATATTTTCATCTAAATTTAGATACAGAGTTTTTCTAAAACTGGGATCAGGCCAGGTGTGGTGGCTCAGGCCTGTAATCCTAGCCCTGTGGGAGCCTGAGGCAGGAGGATCGCTTGAGGCCAGGAGTGGAAGACCAGCCTGGGCAACATGGTGAGACCCCTCATCTCTACCAAAAATACAGAACTTAGCCAGGCATGACAGCGCACCCCTGTAGTCCCAGCTGCTCAGAAGGCTGAGGCAGGAGGATTGCTTGAGCCTGCAAGGTTGAGGCTGCAGTTAGCCAAGATTGCACTGCTGCATTCCAGCCTGGGTGATACACCATCTCAAAAAATAGTAACAGTAATTCCCGATTTTAATAACTTCTGGAGTTGTGTAAAAGAATACCTTTATTCTTAGGAAATGCACACTTTGGGGTAATTATGTCTATAGTTTACACTGAAATCATTAAAAAACATGTTAACGGACAAAGTAAATGGGACAAAATGGAAAAAATTTCTCAATTTTAGAAATTGGTAAGTCTTGGTTAAGAGAAGGAGTCTTGGTACTATTCCTGTGACAACATTTGAAATTATATAAAAATTTTAAGTTCCTAAAACTGGCTGTAGAACTGTATGCTCTGAGTGAGCGTTCATTTTGTAAAAGAGCGATTAAGACCAAAACTTTAATCAGTTGAAAATCTGATGAAATAAAAGTAGTAATATATTAGTGTGTTTGACATCAAATCATGGTAGAAGGGTGGTAACTTTTACAAGTTTTTCTCCAAGCACAGTACATTTCTGTGGATTTTTAAAGAATTCAACTTCCTGTAATTCTTACCTTCCTCCACCTAAAGTGACAGTTTACCAAATACTTTTGAGTAATGGTTAGATTGGGTTAGATTCTCAAGGCTTCCTCTTTAAAAGTCATACATTTAATTCGGGTAGTGAATTACTTGGCTGCTTTGTTCCTGTGAAAGTAGTATATAAAAATGTGCCCTTAGTAACACACAATGGGTTTCTCCTGACAGTTATTTCTAGTTATGCAGTTGTCTTACTATCTCAGCAAAGTCATTCTTAACTTCCTCCATGTCTCAGGTTGGAAATAGGAGCCAATTCAAGATCGATTAAAGACTTTAGGGCCAGGTGCGGTGGCTCATACCTGTAATCCCAACACTTTGGGAGGCCAAGGTGAGTGGATCATGAGGTCAAGAGATCGAGACCATCCTGGCCAACATGGTGAAACCCCATCTCTACTAAAAATACAAAAATTAGCCAGGCATGGTGGTGGGCGCCTGTAGTCCCAGCTACTCGGGAGGCAGGAGAACCACTTGAACCTGAGAGGCAGAGGTTGCAGTGAGCAGAGCTTGCACCACTGCTCTCCAGCGTGGAGACAGAGCCAGACTCCGTCTCAAAAAAAGAAAAAAAGACTTAAACGTCAGACCAGAAACTATAAAACTGCCAGAAAAAACAGGAAAAAGTTTTGAGAATATTGGCTTAGGCAAATAATTTATGAATGAGATCTCAAAAGCATAGGCACCAAAAGCAAGAACAGATAAGTGGGCTATAACTTCTGCACAGCAAAAGAAACAACACAGTGAAGAGACAGCCCCTGGAGTGGGAGAAAATACTTGCAAGTTACTCACCTGACAGGGAACTAATATGCAGAGTATACAAGGAACTCAGACTCCTGAAAAGTTAACAAAACAATGCCCTTAAAAATTGGCAAAGGACAGGAATAGAGACATACAAATGGCTAAGATGTATATGAGAAAATGCTCAACATCATTGATCAGGGAAATGTAAATCAAAACCACAGCGAGATATTATCTCACCTCACTTAGAATGGGTATTATTAATAAAAAATAACAGATGCTGGTGAGAATACAGAGAAATGAAAACTGCTACACTGTCAGTAGGAATGCAAATCAGTACAAGCATGATGGAAACCAGTATAGAGAATTCTAAAAAAAAAAAAAAAAAAAATAGAGCTACTCTATGGTCCAGCAGTCTCACTAGGGGGGAGGTATTCATCCAAAAGAAAAAGTTCAGTGTAACAAAGGGTAACTTGCATGCTTGTGTTTATCACAGCATTATTCACAATAGTAAAGATACAGAGTCAATGCAAGTATTCATCAACAGATGAATGGATAAGATGTGCTCAATATACACAGTAGAATATTTGGCATAACAAATAATGAAGTTGTCATTTTCAGAAATGAGTAGCTCTGAAAGTCATTAAGTAAAATAAGCCAGGTACAGAAGGACAAATACCGCAGGTTCTCACATGTGGGAGCTAAAACTTGATCTCATGGACACAGAGAATATGATGGCAGTTACCAGAGGCCAGGAAGATGGGGTGTGGGAGGGAGAATGAAGAGAAGTTGGCAATTGGGTACAGACCTACAGTTAGAAGAAATAAGCTATAATGTTTGATAGTAGACTATAGTGACTAACAATATTATGTGCAAATATTCAAAGTAACCAGAATACACATTTTATGCATGTAACAAGCATTTGTATGTACCCTACAAAGAGGTAAAATATTATGCGTCAATAAGATGGAGAGGTTATGCCCCAGCCTCGAGAGGGGCGCCTTGGATCCGCACAGCACATCCTGCCCAGCTGCATCCTCTGCTCCACTGTGCTGCTAGACTATAGTGACTAACAATATTATGTGCAAATATTCAAAGTAACCAGAAGCTACATTTTATGCATGTAACAAGCATTTGTATGTACCCTACAAAGAGGTAAATATTATGCATTAATAAGATGGAGAGGTTATGCCCCAGCCTCGAGAGGGGCGCCTTGATCCGCACAGCACATCCTGCCCAGCTGCATCCTCTTGCTCCACTGTGCTGCCTGCATCTGGGCCTTCATGCCCGGTCCCTGGGCAGGTGGTGCTGACTCAGGTGGCCACACACTGTGGATCTGGGTGTTGTGGCCCGGAGGGTGGGTGCTAGAGGCTTCCTTGCTCTTCTGTTCCACTGGGACCAGTGGAGCCCGGCAGTGACAGGGCAATTTTCTGACCAGATCCTGAACACAGGAGTGTCACCTGGCCCCCTCCTCATCCTAACTTAGTGCCCAAATACCCTGGGCCTGCATGGCTGGGCTGGAACTCGGGATGCAGCTCAAGCCTTGTGGCATCTCTGGGTTCTCTGTCCACTGAGGGTGCCCTGGGACCCAAAGCTGGCCGTGGGAAGAGATTGGCTTATCCTTGTGCCTAGCACCCCAGACTGTGCTTCCTGGTCCATCGCCCTGGTCACGTTCCCAGGGCAGCTCAGGCTTTGTTTAGGATTTACTGTAGCCGGTGCCTAATAAGTGCTGAGACCTGCAAGGCCAAGGTGGGCAGATGGGAGGTGCTCTTCGTGAGCACCCCCAGCAGTCGGGCAGGGCAGTCCCCACCCAGGCGTCCGTGCTCCGCCTTGTTTGACTGTTAATAGGACTTCATGTCAGGACAAGCACTCTCCCGTCCCTCCTGTCAGGAAGGACACAGACAGCAGGTGCCTGAGGGCAAGGCATCGCCAGGTAACTCAGGCTGCGAGGTGCTGGAGCCGGGATTTGAACCCGGGATCATGGCACTCTGTGTATGGGGCAAATGGAAGATGTGGGGATGTCCATGCAGGAAGGAAGGGGCAGCTTGGTCCCACTGAGCCCAGCTGTCTTTTGTTACCCTGAGGAAACTGCTCAGCCCGCAGCTGGGAGATCCCAGGAGGCCAGGCTTCCTTGCTTCCTGGCTCGGGATCACAGAGGACAAGGGAAAAATTGTGTGTGTGTCTTTTTCTTTTGTTTCGTTCAAAATTTAGTTTATTATCAAGCAAGAGGAGCTTAACCCTGCATGTTAGGCAAGACTTCAGTTACAAAAATAGTCTTTTTTTTTTTTTTTTTTTTTCACTTGTGATTGGCTTCCCCTCTACTTTTTTTGGCAAGTGCAGGTTGGTGTCTGGGCTCAGAATCCATTTTTCCTCCCACACCAAAGCACCTCTTGGTTTGGGTGAAGCAGCCTGGCTTGAGCCTGGCTGCATAAGGAGGAGGGCTGGGGTGCCACTGCCCTGGTCCAGCCTCCAGAGGCCAGCACCAGGGAGGCTCAGTGTCCTGTTCCCAGGATCTGCACAGGGGGTGACTGCATCTCCCATCAGTGGGAGGTGTTTCCTCTGCCGCCTCTTGCCAGCCTGCACCCAGCCTGGCACCTTGACCTCATTGCATGCCCCTCCAGGGGGGGACAGAGCCCTCCCAGGCCAGAAGCCCCACAGCTGTTGGCTCTGGTTTGGACACCGGGCAGGAGGCACTGGGGCAGGAGCTGGCCGTGATCCTGTGACCGCAAGTGCCCCCTCACTGATGGCCTCGTGTTCTGGGTGCGGACTCAAAGAGGAGCAGTGTGAAGGCGCCCAGGCAGGCGCTGGGCTGTGGGTGTTTTGTGGTCCGCACTTGAGGCCATTTGCAGCCAGCCCTCCGCCCGAAATCTCCGGCGCTGCAGTACGCTGCCACGCACAGCGGCACGGCCAGGAGTGTCTTGGAGGCTTTCTTCATAGGAGGCTGTCAGCATCCTCAGGTTCCAGGCGCTCAGCCCAGTCCTGCTTCAAGAGGCTTTTTTTTTCCTCACCGGAGGCTTCTCAATGGCCTGAAAGCTCCGCTGACTCCCGCCAAGTTTGCTGGGAACACAAGGCCGTCAGTGACATTCGTGGCGCTGACTTAACCATGTGGGTTGCACGGATCCGCCACGGTCTGTGCCACGCACTGGCGCTCCTGAGATGCACGCGCATCGCCGCACGCCGTAACGGTTTGGCTGGCCTGCACGTTTGGCTGGCCTGTAACGGCTACACGCACGCCGCCCGCGCGACTGGTAACTGGCTGGTTTGTGGTAAGAGGCTGCACGCGCAGGGCATACGGTAACTGCTTGGCTGGCTCAGCGGCTTGTATCGTACAAGAGGGGGCAATAATGCCACGTGAGCGGCTTGGCTTGGCTTTGCGTTTTTGGCTTGGCCGGTCGCTTGGCCTGCTGTTCCTCCTTGGACCTCCTCCTTGGATTGACGTTTTCCTTTGGGTTGACGTGCTTCCCTCCTAGTTCCTTTGCTGGGCTTGACCTTTTCTCTGCTGGGTTTGGCATTCCCTTGGGTGGGCTGGGTGTTTTATTGCGGAGGGGTTGGCTCTTCCTAGGGTGGAGGGGCCTCCCGGGTGGGTGTGGGCTGGGCTCCCCCGCTGGGGTTGGCAGGTTTTGGCTGGGATTGATCTTTCTCTTCAAACAGATCGGAAACCCGAGTTACCTGCCAGTTGGTGAAACTGGCTGGTAGACGGATCTGCTGCTTGCCACCATCAGTCTCCCTGGCTGTTAAAAGCAGATGGTGGTCAGTTGGTTCCATGCCGGCGCGCCCTCTGGTTGTGAAGAAGCTTTTTGGTTTCAGGAGGAAGATGGGCAAATGGGGCTGCCACTGCCTCCATTGCTGGCAGGGGGAGCAGGAAGAGCAACGCGGCCGCTTCTGAGACCAGGACGACTCCGCCTGTAGCGGACACTCAGGAGCAAGATGGCCAAGTGTGGTGCTGCCATTGCCTCCTGCCGCAGGGGAGTGGCAAGAGCAACCTGCGCGCTTCTGGAGACGCCGCACGCCGTAACGGTTTGGCTGGCCTGTAACGGCTTGGCTGGCTTGTAGCAGTTTGCACACGCACGCGCCCGCGCGACTGGTAACTGGCTGGTTTGTAGAGTTTGCACGCGCAGGGCAATAATGCGGTAACTGCTTGGCTGGCTCAGTAGCGGCTTTGCACGCGCAGGGCACGCGCAGAGCGGCTTGGCTTGGCTTTGCGTTTTTGGTTTGGCGCCGGTCGCTTGGCCTGCTGTTCCTCCTTGGTCTCTTTGGATTGACGTTTCCTTTGGGAGAAAATCACGCAACCTGGGCGCTTCTGGAGACCAGGACGACTTGCTATGAAGACACTCAGAGCAGCAAGAGCGATGTGGGCGCTTTGGGAAGAATACGCCACGACAGCGCTTCATGGAGCCGAGGTACCACGTCCTACGAGAAGATCTGGACAAGCTCCACAGAGCTGCCTGGTGGGGTAAAGTCCCCAGAAAGGATCTCTATCACATGCTCAGGGACAATTGACGGAACAAGACGGACAAGCAAAAGAGGTAACCGGGCTCTGGGCTGGGAGGAGGAGGGACGTGGGGGGTGATGGAGGAGGGACAGGGCGGGGTGATGGGGGACAAACCCTCCTGGCAGGGGAGGAGGGGGCTGGCTTTCTCTGTCTCCGCAGGCCCCACACCACCCTGGGTGGAAACCCCAGCGAGGTCAGAGGTCAGGGCACAGGTCCCTTTGTGAGCAGCAACACAAACAAAACTTGATGGATTTCCAACCAATTATAATCTCCCTCACAGAACACTAATAGATTGTTTTAAAGTGATTTAACTCGAAAAATTGCTGATGCAGCAGATTATTTTTAATGTACACATTTTAAAGCAATGTTCTATATATTATAAAAAAGTATATTGAGAACTAAGAACGGAGCCCCAAAACATATTAACTTCAAGGCTAAATATTTCTTCAAATAAAATCCAGTATGGATTTTTATCAATGTACTCCTATGTAACATGTTCTTTACTGGGAACCTTAGAAGGAAACTGAAATGGGAAGAAGGTTCATGTGCTTGAAAAGGAAGATTGAATTTTCTGAAGATGTGAGCTTTTTCTATTTATCACTTTTACCTAAGCCAAATAAAAATAGCAAAGTTTTAGAGTTTTTAAGCACATGCTGTCTTTTTATTATTGTGATAAATTATTTTTTTATGACAGAATGGAAAGACTTGCTTTTCCAGATATCAAAATGTGTATGTGCTATTTCCACAAATTGTTTACTAACAGCTGAAAAGATCAATGAGTAGAACAGAATAGGAAATCCAGAAATGCCCAAATATATGTAAGAATTTAGCACTTGATAATGGTGATGTTTTGTATTATTTTAAAAAGGTGGATTGTTCATAATTCATTTTTGGAGAAAACTAGCTAGATTTTTATGTCACAAAAATAAGAGTATAGATTAAAAATTTTAAATATACAAAAGCAGAAACATACCAGAAGAAAACACAAATGCTTATTTATATATGCAGATATATATATATATATATATATATATATTTTTTTTTTTTTTTTGATGGAGTCTAACTCTGCTGCCCAGGCTGGAGGTAGTGGTACACGATCTTGGCTCACTGCAGTCTCTGCCTGTTAGGTTCAAGCAATTCTCTGCTTCCAGCCTACTGAGTAGCAGGATTACAGGCGCCTGCCACTATGCCTGGCTAATTTTTTTATTTTTAGTAGAGATGGAGTTTCATCATCTTGGCCAGGCTGGTCTTGATTCCTGTCCTTGTGATCCATGCACCTTGGCCTCCCAAAGTGCTGGGATTACAGGCGTGAGTCACCGTGTCTGCCTATATATGCAGATATAATAAAATAAGCTCATTAAAATAAGCATTTTAAAATTGGGCATAGTACTTTTAGCGTATCTACCAGTGACCTGAAGTGATGCAGGAAAACAGTGTTCCTGGTAGGAGAAGGAATTTGAGTTAGAGAAATGAAATACTGTTTTCTACTTAAGTTAGAAGAGGAGTGAAAGGTCAGGGCAGTGGCTCACGCCTGTTATCCCAGCACTTTAGGAGGCTGAGGCAGGCGGATCACAAAGTCAGAAGTTTGAGACGAGCCTGGCCAGTGTGGTGAAACCCCATCTCCTAAAAATACAGAAAATTAGCTGGGCATGGTGGCATGCACCTGTAATCCCAGCTACTCAGGAGGGTGAGGCAAGAGAATTGCTTGAATCAGGGAGGTGGAGGTTGCAGTGAGTCGAGATCACGCCACTACACTCCAGCCTGGGCGATGGAGTGAGAGTCCATCTCAAAAGAAAAAAAAAGGAATGAAATACTGTTTTCTATCCACAAAGTTTGTGAGGATGAAGAACAGTGGTACATATATAGTTGTTCAAAGTTTAAGTTGCTGCAGCTTTTCAAACAGACACTTTAGTGGTAAGAACCATTTTTAAAATACAGATACTTTTACTTATCAATTCCATTATACTGAAATATCTTTTACTAAACAGATACATCTGTTTTTCTTAGTATTGCTTAAAACAGCAGTGTATTTAGAAGAATTCATAGATTTTATGAACAAATTCTCAGCATCCATAGGATGGAATAATAAGTAACTATTGAGGGTGTCAGTACATACAGAGATAGTTGACATGCAAAGATGTACTTGCTATATCAAGTGAGAAAAATCTTGTTATACATATACACAAATAATCTGCTCTTGTGTTAGCTGAAAATATGTAGAAAATATAATCAAACTTATGTCTGGGGATTTGTAAGTGAAGTTTTTCCTTTCTTATCTGCAGATTTCAATGAACATCTGAAGTTTAGTTAAGGTTCATTAGTAATGAAATAATCCTTGGAAAGAGAAGGAATATGCTGCTTGCATAGATACAACTAATTTCTCACATTCTATTATTTATTTTTATTTCTGTGGATGACTGTCTTCTGTGAACTTCTATCCTCTTCAGATGTGGAGAGGTTCTGTTTAATTGTTCCTGTAGGATTTTATTGTATATACATTTTATTATATAATTATCTTTTCATTATATATAGGTTAACATGTGTAAAAAGTATGACTCATTTTAGTTGTTATATACTTGTGAAAATTAAAATAGCAAATACAAATGATTATTACTATTGCATATGTATTCTCCTACCTACAGCAGTTTTCTTTAAAAATATTGAACTCCTGGGTTGCGTTTATCCATTCTTTTCTCAGTCCATTTAGTCATCAGACACAAGCCAGACACCGATTATGTGGCCGCGATTCTACTATCTCAGGATCCTTCCATCTTTGAAAACTTCATGTTTACCTGCTGGGCATGAGCAAGCTGAGAGATTTAAAGTTGGAGTATTAGGACTTAATCTCAATTGAAGCTTTTTCTCCCTCCTTTCAAACAAAAACATTTCTGAAGGTAGAAAATAGTAAAAGATAATCTTTAATTGCCTTTTTGAACATTTATAAGTCTTGGATAAAGACTGTTTCAGTTGTTTTAAGAACTAAAATGTGGTAGATAAACAGCAGGACTACTATGCAGCCATAAAGAAACAACGAGCATGTCCTTTGCAGGGACATGATGGTGCTGGAAAGCCATTATTCTCAGCAAACTAACATAGAAGAGAAACCAAATACTGCGTGTTCTTACTTATAGGTGGAGCTAAAATGATAACACACAGATACTCTAGAGGGTATGAATATGCACTGGGCCTATCGGAGGTGGAGGGTGGGAGGAGGGAAAGAAGCAGGAAATAGAGTGAACGGATACCGGCTTTAACGCTGTAATTAAATCATCTGTCTAATTTACCTTTATGTGACAGCTATTTGTGTAATAGACTGGCATATCTGCACTCTGTACCCTGAATGTAAACGCTGAAAAAGCTCCACAAATAGTTTCATAACCATTTTTAAAAAAGAAAATTTATAAATGTCTCAACTTAATATGAAAGATTGGAAATATCTGATGTACATACATTGATAAATCTAAAGATTGAAAAAAATGAGCCCATGGTATTTATTTGAATTTCCAGGTATTCTTGCTTAAAGTTTTTTTGAAAACTGTGCTAAGAATTAGTTTATTTGCAAATTTGTTTTGTTTTCACCTCTCACACCCTCTTATTGCATAGGTTTTTTAAGAACTAAAATTTATTTAAATGCTGGTCATCTGCCTGGAACCGCCCCAGACCTGTTATAACATATTCTACTTAATGTAAGGCACCAGGGTTGTATGATGCCTCATTATTTTATGCGTCTCAATAAGAGAATTATTTAAATGCCGCCAATTATAGTAAATCATGAATTATAAGTGGTATTTCAGTGGAGACAACATGGAGACAATGATCATCTTAGAATCACTGAAATACAACGTTACCTGTAGTCTTTAAAACGTACCTGAAAGTGTAGGTATAATTGTATCATCTCACTTAATTCAAAAGTCGTTAGGGTATTAGTAAAATTATAATATCTAGCAATTATTGAGCTGTTCTGTGTTAGAACTATTCTATATCTTTTTTGCGTAGAGTCTCATTTAAGCATTACAGTGGTTTCCTGTGAGAAAGCTACTATTTTCATTCCCATTTTATTGATGAGGAAACTGAGACACCAAAAGGCTAAGCAACAGCTGGGAAGTGACAGAGCTTCAAGTAGGGTTCCAGCCCAAGCTGAATGTCATCCAAGGGGTGTGCTATTTCTATTCAAATAGGCTGCTCTTTAATTAATATAGCGAGTAATGAGAGGTAATAAACAGTGTGCTTTCTTCATGGGAAAATTAAATGTTTGTTTTGAAGGCAGAGTAATAGCAGGCTATTCAGTGCTTGCAATTACACGAATCATTGATGTGCTCTGTAGCTAGTGCACTACTTCTAAACGTCTTCACTTCCTAGGATCGTTTCTACATCTGCCTCTGCTAATGGAATTCAGAAGTAGTAAACTGCT